GAATAGCGGGGAGGACCACAGGGAAAGGGAGGGAAAACTGAATGGGAAGAAATCAGAGAGGGAGACAAACCATGAGAGACTCCGGACTCCGGGAACCAAATAGGGTTACAGGGTTACAGAAGGGTGGGGGGCGATGTGCAGGGATGGGGTAACCAGGTGATGGGTATTAAGGAGGGCACGTGTGGGGATGAGCACTGGGTGTTATATGCAACTGATGAATCATTGAACACTACATCAAAAACTAATGTACTATATGCTGGCTAACTTAACATAATAATAATAAAATTAAGTATCTTTTAAAAAAGTGTCTCTCTTACCAATTCTGGTATTGTTACTACCAGAGGTGATTGACTCACTCTTGGGGAGAAATATCTTACTTCTTCATTTACTCTTCCTTAAAGGTTTCTCTTTAAAAACATTTCTTTTTTTCCCAAGAAATACATGCATATATTCTGGTTGTAAAAAAGATTTTTAAACCCCTCAGGGTGCCTGGGTGGCTCAGTCAGTTAAGAGTCTGACTCTTAATTTCGGTTCAGGTCATGATCTCAGGGTCCTGAGATGGAGCCCCGCATCAGGCTCCATGCCCAGCAGAGAGTCTGCTGGAGACTTTCTCCCCAACCTCTCCCTCGCCCTCTGCCCCTCCCCCGCTCATGCATGTGTGCTCTCTCACATAAATCTTTTTAAAAAATTTGTTAACTCTTAAAAACAAAAAAACAAAACAAAACAATTTGTTAAAACCCCTCTCTTTTCCTTTTTAATAACATTAAATGCTTTCTTGTTACCTGCCCCAGTGTATTAGAAAGACCTGAGTGCTAATTCTTGTTCTGCTACTTAATAACAATGCAACCTTGGGCAAGTTTCTCAGTCCCTCATGGCTAACGTGTGCTTGATAATACCTACCTTAGTGTGATGAAAATGAAGTGGGATAACACACCTAGCACCTCCTTTCTTTTTCCTTCCCATTGAACCTTTGATATTTTCATTTAACTCCAGCCAGGTATGAATAGCGCTTGATTTTCCCGTACCACACAATTCATACTATGCTAATATCTCACAGAGGGACAGTAAGATCTAAAAGACACAGAGCAAATGTTAAAACAGGTAGATGCGCCTTTTTCAAGGATGTTTCTTTGGAATTCTCATCACTGTGCATCATTGTCACAGCCCCAGGGCTGAATTAAGGGCAGAAAGCTTCAGACACAGATATTAAATGACCTAGTTATCATAGGTATGTTGTAATATTCCCTTATATAATGCCTAGCTCAAGAAACTTGAAGTCAGGCCACAAAATTGTGTATACACTATTGTAACTGTATAAATAAAACTAAAAAATCATGTATAGAAAAAAGACCAGAAAGAAAAGCTGCTAATTGTTGTTTTGGTAAAGTAGTAAAATTGTGGGTGATGCTTCCTCTCTCTCTTTTTTGGTAATGTGACATTTGCTTATTAATGGAAAAATAATATTTTTTTAAAAGATTTTATTTATTTATTTGCCAGAGAGAGAGAGAGAGAGTACAAGCAGGGGGAGTGGCAGGCAGAGGGAGAAGCAGGCTTCTTGCGAAGCAAGGAGCCCAATGTGGGACTCGATCCCAGGACCCTGAGATCATGACCTGAGCCGAAGGTAGACACTTAACTATCTGAGCCACCCAGGCGCCCCTGGAAAGATAATATTTTATGAAAATGATGAAAACTCTAAAAATAGAAGTTTGGAATATTCAACATGTAATAAAATTAGTTAATCCTTATGATAGCCATATAAGGTGCTATCTTACATCATAAAATAGCACAAGACTTCAGCAAATTTCTATAGTAGATAAGATGTGTGTGTTTTAAATTCTATTTATTTATTTGACAGAGAGAGCACAAGCGGGGGAGTGGCAGAGGGAGAAGCGGACTCCCCGCCAAGCAGGGAGCCTGATGCCAGACTCGATCCCAGCACCCTGAGATCATGATCTGAGTGAGCCAAAGGCAGATGCCCAACCAACTGAGCCACCCAGGCGCCCCGATAAAATGTGTTCTGGGACTATTGTCCTCCTAATTCTTTTATCTTTTCCACATTTATGAGTTTCCTCCCAGATACCTGGTGTCCACTGTTCTTCTCCAACATGTCAAAGGACAATAAAGATTTGCTTCTTTAGGGGATTTGCATCTTTATAACTATCAATGGCATATACTCTGGAATTAGGAGCATTAGCAAGCAGGTGTTCAAAACATCTGTGAGCCTTGGGACCTGATGGTACCCAGAAATCAGACTTCTGTAGACTTCTGTAGGTCAGGGGCACACTGATCACAGCTGTTCCCCAATGCTGACAGATACATCAAAGCTGTTGCCAGTTTGTTAACCAGAGGCAATGATAGGCATGGGAGATGCGACTGTTCTTTCTAAGGGACTCATAAAGGTCTGATTAGTCTAAGTCATTGCCCAAGCAATTAAGGAGAATATTTTTGGAAAAGACTTCAGAAGCCAAGCAGAGTAGAAGTTTCCACCCTCCACTTACTGCATCTAATCAGATCAACTCTCATTCTGCACAGAAGCTGCACTGCTCTCAAGCACTGCTTATTTAGACGTAGTTGGGATGAACCACCCCTTCCCTGGGCATAGACCAGTCATACTTCTGTAGCAGATGGCCTCTAAGATGTATCTACATCTGACATAGTTGTTATGAAAATATCTATGTACAGTCTAGTGTGCTGTCCAGTAAGGCAGTCACTAGCCTCATGTGGCTATTTAAATTTATTAAAATTAATTAAATAAAAAATCCAGTGTCTCAGGCACACTAGAGCCACATTTCAAGTGCTCAGACGCCACATGGGGGCTAGTGGCTACTGTGTGGGACAGTGCAGATACAGAACATTTCTATCACACCAAATTCAACACTGGACAGTCTGATCTAGAAGATAACACCTTCAAATTGCATTTTTGTAGAGGCACAGGTCAGCCTGCACTTAAAGGTGTAAAGCACCTCCCTGCCCACGGACATATATATAGTCACTGAATGGTCTTACTGACTTTAGCACTTCTTCCTACTTTTCCTTAATCTCTAGATCTTTGCACATACATCACACTCAGCACAAACTGTTTTAGCCCTCCTCCCTCCTTTTCACTGATGAGGATATGATTCTTTAGGGTAGATTTAGTTCCTATAATCCGTGAAAATGCCCGGCTAACTAGAGCTGTCCTGGAAACCTGCCTTGTGTAAGAAACAAACAAGCTTGAATCTGAAGAGGGATGTATCTATTTGTGTTGCTGAGTCATTGAATTGACTGAAGGAAGGTCTGCGGGGGGGCGGGGGGGGGGAGAAGCGAAGCTGCATACAATCGTTTCTATTAGAGATTTTGCTATTTTGGTGTTCGCATGTCAAAATAAGTCATTAGATGAATTGGTGGTGGAGCAATTTAGTGCCGGAAAAATGCCTTTCCCAGGCAAGATTTGAACTAGTGTTTTTTCTTGAATCAGATTGTTTTGTTCTCCTGCCGAGATTAATTTTGCCGAATTTTAAAGCTTCAACTCTCTAATGAAGGCAAAAATAAACAAATCTCTCCAACCCAGGCCTTTTTAACTCCCCTAAGATTATCACTAAAATGCCTTCATGTTATATTTTTGTCTGGGAAACAGAACTTTTAGGCATTACTGCACCCACGGGATGACTCTGAATCCAGTCAGAGATCAGGAAGAGCATGAAAAAGCCTCGAAGCTTTTGGTTGAAGATGCCGGGGAGATGTAAACCCAAAGCGCGTGTTTTTGTTTTTTTTTGTTGTTGTTGTTTTGTTTTGTTTTTAACCTCCCTCCCCAACCCCTCCCCCCAAACCTAGGACTACTCGTTTGTTCAGCAGTTCTGACGCCAACGATTTACAACGGTGAGGAGCTGCGGCTGGTGAGTAAAGGGGCTGGGCGTGGTCAGGACTCGGGTGTCTGACTCACTGCAGAGCCTTGAGGAAGTCCTTTATACCTCCCCTCACCTGCCAGGGCAGGTTGTGCTGAAAAAGTCCATTCGCATCTACTCATGTTATAGATGGGCAAACCTAAATTTAAAAAGACCCTCACAGGGCGCCTGGGTGGCTCAGTTGGTTAAGCGAATGCCTTCAGCTCAGGTCATGATCCTGGAGTGTCCGGATCGAGTCCCGCATCGGGCTCCTTGCTAAGCAGTGAGTCTGCTTCTCCCTCTGACCCTCCCCTCTCATGCTCTATCTCATTCTCTCTCTCAAATAAATAAATAAAATCTTTTAAAAAAATAAATAAAAGACCCTCACAGTGACACAGCAAATAAGCCCTCCACGAATCCATGTGTTCAGCCTGGGCTTCGGACACCCTACAGCTCTACCTGGGAGGCAGTTTGTGGATCTGGGGTTTTGAGAGTCCGATGGCACCTGCGGTGTAGGATGGTGGGTTGCCGGTCTCAGGGCCAGCAGGAGATGACCTATCTGTAGCTACTTTTGAGTCTCGGACAAAATAGCCTCCCAGAGTTACGAGAAACTGCCTGTACCTGCCCAAGTAAAATCCATCCAATAGTTGCCATGAGATGTATTTTCCCTTCACTCTTCGGTCCCAATTCCTGGGCTCTCTCGTGCTGGATACAAGGTGGGGGTGGGGTGAGAGGCGGTGATTAGTCACTTACTGCAGTCTTCACACCTTTTATATTTGTGTTGTTTCCTTGCCTTTAACCCTCTCGCATCCAGAAAGTACCCCAGTACACCACCCCTGCTCCCCCGCCCGAACCCCGAAGTGGCGACCAGAGGGGTCGTATGTTGTGAAACACAGGAGACTCCAGGGAACGCCCGACCCGAGGGGCATCCAGGACAGCGGGGCGCGCGCCCCGCAGCTCCGCTCGGCGGCGGACGGCGCAATGCGCACGCGCGCCGCCCGCCGCTCCCCGCGTCCCCCGCCGGCTTCCCCCCGCCCCTCAGCGAGCCTCTAGCGCGGAGGCCCCTCCCCCGCCCCGAGCGGCCCGCCCCCCTCGGGAGAGGGCGGCGGGGCGCAGGGAGCGTGCGCGCGGCCCGCCCCGGGCGCGGGCGGAGGGGAGAAGGAGGGGCGCGCGCGGCGGGTAGCCCGCAGAAGCCTGGAGCCGCGCAGGAGGACGGAGTGCCAGCAGCCGCGGGGCCGAGCCGGTAGGGGGCCGCGGGCCCGGGCAAGGACTGGGGGGCGGGCGGGACTTGGCTCCGACGCGACCCCGGCAGGGGCTGGCGGGACCCGGCGGCCGGGGCCCCGCGCGACCCTCGTTTCTGGAAACTTTGTGCCGGCACCCACACCTGCTCTTGGGCGGTTCTCGCATCCTCTGGGCGGCCGGGAGGAGCGAGGCCCGGGGCCCTCCGCAGCGCCCCTTCCTCGCCGCCCGACACCCCGCCTCGCCGGCTCTGGGCGCGCGCCCCCCGGCTGCGCTCGGGTGCGGCCGACGCCCCGGCCCCGCGTCCCGGCCCTCGGGCTCCTTAGCCGGCATCCTGTGGGCTCCTCTCCCCTCCTCCTCCTTCCTGACCCTCGGCACTCCGGCCGCGCCATGGTCTCTCCAGCTCCTCACCCGCCGTCAGCGTCCACCCGCTCCGAGCCTCTGGAGCTGTCGGTGGCCCTTTGCTTCTTCCATAGGTTTCTGGTGCATTGATAGAAGCAACTTGACTTTCAGCAATGCCAAGTATTCAACTTGAGTGTTTCTCTTTGGTGGTAGATTGGGGTGCACAGTGCTAACGTGTCTTTTTATTTCTCCTAAGTACCCTCTCTTCAAAGCGAAGTTGAGTTGTTTGTGTGTGAGAGGAGTCGCCTGCTGGAGCTGCCTTCGTGGATTGTATAACTATATTTTATTTAGGTGGTTGTTGCCATTGGTACCAGCCAGTGTTATGGTAACTGGGCATCCCAGAGGCGAGGGAAGGAGGAGTGACTTACAATTGCAGTTCTACTGTGTAGGGATTTAAAGCAAAAAAACAAAACAAAAAGAACAACACAACTACCTTGTACTTTTCATCCAGCAGGACCTCAAGGCATTTGGCATGTGTTAACGAGCCGTTCATTGTAGTTTTATTAGGAGGGGTAGGTAGAGAGCATTGCCATCCCGTTTTACAGATGTAAAAACAGAGGCAAAGAAGCAAGTCCTGATTCTTTACTAATCTTAAAGGAATATGGACGAAGATATTTAACCCTGAGTTTCCTGGAATTCCTAGTCCATTAGGCTACACGTAAGGAAAATGGAATGTTGGAGCATCTTCCCTGAGATTGTACAGAGCAGTTAAAAGTCAGAGAGGCTGGGCCCCGGTGTCAGCGTGGTTGAGGCTCTGCTGTGTCACAGAGTTAAGTGATACTGGACAAGTCACAGCTGCTCCCTACATGTTTCCTGTTGTTTAAGATGAGGGGAACAAAGGTGCTGTCTTCTTTGAAAAGTTGCGTGAGTGTGTCTGGAGGCTCCACTCCCTTGAGCTGCATTTGGGGATTGTTAGTTGTGGTGGACTCATAAAGGCTCCCATTCTTGGGCTCTTTTTAAGAAATGCAGAGAATGAGGCACCCCGGAATGAATAACTGCCTCTTCTTCACCAGGGACACCTGAGAATTCCTGTCAGGGACCAGCTGAGGCAGGGACCCTGACCTGGGGTGGGGGGGGGGAGGGTTGTCGGGTGGAGGTAGGAAGGCGCCCTGCACAGGCGGCTTTGACACATGGGCCCTATTCCTGCCTCCAGCTCTGACTCATCTTCTGACGCTTGGGGGAGGAGAAGGTAGTTGCTTGATATTTTTGGCTTTCCCCCATAAAACAGGAGACGGTTTCCTTCATTCCAAGTCATTTTAACGTCAGTGTCAAACGTGTCTATGCTGAGTTCTCATCTGAAATCTGTCATATTGGTTGAATGCAGGTATGATTTCTGTAATATTCCCTAATAGAATGGCATAAATGTGTATTCATATAAAAAAATACTGCTCAGGTGTGCAAACCCAGGCAGTTCTTTAAAACTATAGCATGAAAACCTTAATATTTTTAAATGATGGTCTACAGGGAGGAATGTGTGTTTCGTAAATTCCTTTGCATTTGGGATTTTAAGGCAAGGTGGATTGAAAATGCTTTTTCTCACTGTCACCAGAAATTCATTAATAATTCTCTTTGTAAAACTAAGAACTTTACAGATAAGGTTAAAGCCTTCTTTTTTAGCATCTTTCCCAAAAGTAACTGCTGTGTATATCTTTATCGATTTGTGTGTAACCTCTTAGACTTTTCTAAGTATTTTTATAAGTGTCTGCACAAAGTGATTTTTTAATTGAAATGAATTATTATAAAATTAACCAGTCCTGTTCATAGAGTTTTGGTTTCTGTCTACAAGAGGTAGCATGTGTTTTAAGTACAGCTGGTTGTAAAGGTTCATTACTTCTGTGGCATGGTAGTGTTTCTCAGGACGATGGGCAAGTGATCCCCTCTTAAACAGCCTCAGAGCACTTAAACCGTTAAGATCCTAGGTGTTACTCTTAGATGAAAATGAAAACTTTTCCATTAAAAACAATATCTAGGACTACTAGTGTATTCACCCTAAAGGGAAGCATAAAAGGGAGCGGAAGGCAGGGAGAGTAGCTAAAGCAACAGCCCCTGGGTATAAACTTACAGGTGAACATTTAAGGTAGTAGTTTTAGTTATTTATGAAAGCTTCACTGGGAAACAAAGGGAAGTGTTAATGCGGGCACAGTTCAGATCAGTAGTTTCAGGAGACACATGAGTTCAAACAGAATTCACATCAAGAGTTTATATATTAGAGGGCGCCTGGGTGGCTCAGTTGGTTAAGCAACTGCCTTCGGCTCAGGTCATGATCCTGGAGTCCCGGGATCGAGTCCCGCATCGGGCTCCCCGCTCGGTGGGGAGTCTGCTTCTCCCTCTGACCCTCTTCCCTCTCGTGCTCTCTATCTCTCATTCTCTCTCTCTCTCTCTCAAATAAATAAATAAAATAAAATCTTTAAAAAAAAATAAAATATTAAAAAAAAAAAACAAGAGTTTATATATTAGAGGGCGCCTGGGTGGCTCAGTTGGTTAAGCGTCTGCCTTCGGCTCAGGTCATGATCCCAGGGTGCTGGGATCGAGTCCCGCATCGGGCTCCCTGTTCCTTGGGAGCCTGCTTCTCCCTCTGCTTCTCTTTCTCTCTCTCTCTCTGTCTGTCATGAATAAATAAATAAAATCTTTAAAAAAAAAAAAGAGTTTATATATTAGAGGACTTTTACCATGCTGAAGGTCCAGTGCTGAATATTGGGGTAGAAGGCAAATAAGGTCCCTGAAAACTGATGAAACTGATAGGCTAATAGCGACATTTAGAGAGGAAGTGTTCTTTCCCCACATTGGCCAGAATTGTAATGGTTCTGAATTCCTGGACATCAACATTTTGTTTACTTAACCTTTTTATTGTGAATTATAACACAGAAAAGCATACGAAACAAATGGGTAAATTAATGATTTTTTTTAAGAACACCCAGCTGTAACCATCTCGAAGGTCAAGAAGCACCTTCCTCCCGTACTTTGCCAATGACAACCTCTCCCCTCACCCCAGAAGTAACCTAGCCTCATTTTTGTGGAAATCACTTCCTTTCTTGTTGCTAGTTTCTCTCCCCTAAATATTAATATCTAAACAAGTTTCATTTTGTCTGTTTTCATCTTTATGCAAATGGAATCAAAGTAGGTATTCTTTTAAATACTTTTTTTGTGGGGTCAACATCATACGTGGGTATATATATGTGTGTATATAGGAATATACATACAGACACAGTTTTTTAAAATTCTTGCAGCATGGTATTTTTTTAAAGATTCATTCATGTTATCTGTGACTAATTAGGTCATTTTTTTTTTTTAAAGATTTTATTTATTAGAGAGAGACAGCGAGAGACGGAACACAAGCAGGGGGAGTGGGAGAGGGAGAAGCAGGCTTCCCATTGGGCAGGGAGCCCGATGTGGGACTCGATCCCAGGACCCTGGGATCCTGACCTGAGCCGAAGGCAGACGCTTAATGACTGAGCCACCCAGGTGCCCCTAATTAGTTCATTTTTGTATGAACATAGCACAAGTTGCCCATCATCTGTTGGCGGACAGCTGGGTAGTTTCTGGTCCAGGGCCTTCAGGTGTGTTTATCTGCAGCTTTACTAGGTGATGCCTCATTTCCTAAGTGGTTGGTACCAATTTACATTCCTCCAGTGGTGTCAGCCTTGAATTTATAATCCACTGTATTTGTTGTTGAACCTCAGTATGTTTGGATATCCACAGTGTGAATGAATGAATGTCACCTAGGTGGTCTGATCCCTGGTCCTTTGTGTACCATTGTATTTATGTATACTTAATTGTATGGGTTGGACCAACATACCACCCAAAGGCCAGAGATGGTTTTTCCACTCTATTTGGTTGACAAATACCCAAGAAAATCCTTCCCTTTTTTTTTTTTAAACAGATGTGTAGTTATAGGAAAATTTAAATATGCAAAGTGAAGAAAAAAAGTATCTAGTTACCTAGAAGTCTTACTTTTTTAAGGGATTTTTTTTTTTGAAAAGAAGATTTTTTTTAAAGTTTATTTATTTTTCAGTAATCTTTACACCCAGCATTGCGCATGAACTCACAACCCTTGCATTAAGAGCTGCATGCTCTTCCGACTGAGCCAGCCAGGTGCCCCTCTCTAAAAGTCTTTTAAGGGTTTTGGGTGAATCCTACCTCTGGGGCCACTCGATGCTGCCTTGACTTGGTGACTTGCGTTGTGCTGGTGAATGCCTGCCGTGTGCCCAGCCCTGAATGTGCAGGCCGTTGGTGCTGGCTTTATAGGGTGTGATGTGTGCAGGAACCCAGGCCAGTGCTCATTAAAGTACTCTGGGAGGACCCTCCGGGAATGCTTGTGCGCGTGTGCAGATCCTTGAAGAGGCACTGAGCACAGACCAGGGCTCCTCTTTCCTTGGCGTTTCCAGAGGAACCACAGCTTCTTTGCTATGGGAATAAAGTACTCTCTCGGAATCTTTAAAATGTACTTTTTTCCAAATCTTCCTTAGTATAACGTAGTAGAGATAGTTAAAACTGGTTTTGAAACAATTTCTGCTTTTGAGGAGACAGTTGCCAGGTTAACTTTAATTGCTTGTGTTTGGTGTTGCTAGCTGGATTTAAAGCTAGGTGTGTGTGGAGTGTGTGTCCAGGAGAGACAGAGGTGGGGGCAGGGGAGAGAGGGAAGGGAAGGGGGTAGGGATAGGGAGAGATGGGAAGGTTATGTCAGGACAGGTATTTGTTGAGTATCTACAGTGCCTAGTATTATTTGCTAACAGTTTGCTTCCATCCTGAGAATGTTCTACAGTTCTGTAGGTTTAGAAAATACCTTCAGGGCTATCCTTTTTCTTAGTTGGAGGGGTAAAGGAAGAATAGTCCAAAGAACGTGAGATTTGTAGTTCTTTTTTTATTTTTTCTGTAAGGCATCTTAGAAAATGGCTATATGCTCTATTTTCCGGCTTTCATAAATCACGAGAACTTTTTCACTTAAAGTTTTTTTTTCAGATTCTCTAAAATGGTCATAATTTTAAAAACTATGTAAATTAAAAGTTTTTTTAAAAAGATTTTATTTATTCATTTGAGACACAGAGATACAGAGACAGAGAGAGAGCGAGCATGAGCAGGGAGAGAGGCAGAGGGAGAGGGAGAAGCAGGCTCCCCGCTGAGCCAGGAGCCCGACGTGGGGCTCGATCCCAGGACCCTGGGATCATGACCTGAGCCGAAGGCAGACGCTTAACCATCTCAGCCACCCAGGCGCCCGTAAATTAAAAGTTTTAAAGGACAAAAAGGAGTGTGCAAGCCTCTGAATCTGAGTGATGGGGGGAAGAGTCCTAATTGTGTTCGTTGGTACCCCTTTTGGCGGGCAGTACTTGATGGAAGAGCTCCGGATTCCACCTGTTGCAGGGAAGGGGGTGGAGGGTGGGTGCCGAGGCCGTGGCCCTACCACAACATCACCTACACCCACGGCCCTCCCAGCTCCCCTTGCCACTTGCCATTCTTGCTCTTAGCACTGACCCAGTTTTAACTACCTGTACTAGGGCACCGACAGTTTGGCCAGCTTCCTCCCCCTCCCCCACTGTGCCTTCTCAAAGTCTCAGGCCAAGGGGCCCTTTTGAAATTCACATGCAACTGCTGGTCTTCTGCCTTTGTCCCAGAATAGTTTCAGCATCACAGGCCTATGCATAGCAGCAGATCTTCTTGACTCCTTAGGTCTTTGAGTTTGTGGGTAACACAGGAGAAGACTCTTCAGGTAGGGCATGTTGCTTCTGTTGAACTAGTAAACATTTCTGTGGCAGATAGAGCGAGCATGGGAAACTCCAGCCTTCCTCGACTGGAAGAGAGAGACTATGAGGTAAGCTTGCTTGAAGTTTTGAGGAAGTACTGGTAAAATAAAATCCAGGAGAGTACTGTCAGCATTGCAAGTTACATACAAATTTGAAATCAAAATTTATAATTAAGAATTTCACTAACTTAGCCCTTGTGCCGCTCTGGTGTCCTTGCCAGGTTCTCTTTTACCAGATCAGCTGTGAGTCTGGCTCCCATGTGGACAGCAGGCGTAGGCCAGAGCCTGGAGGGGGGGGTTTGTATTGACAGCCATTTGTTGTAGTTAATTTTCTTCTATTCCAAATAATTTTTATTTTTAGAAATTTCAGTCATATACTGGGGCACCGCCTGGGTGGTTTAGTCAGTTAAGTGTCCAGCTCTTGATTTCGGCTCAGGTCATGATCTCAGGGTCGTGAGATTGCGCCTGCATCGGGCTCTGTGCTGGGCGTGGATCCTGCTTGAGATTCTCTCTCCCCGCAGCCTTCCTCATGCTCGCTCGCTCCCTCCCTCCCTCTCAAAAATACTAATAAATGAGTAAATTGCAGCCATATAGAAAATTACAAAGAACAAATTTATATCATTACCACCCCAAATTGGTCATACTTTCTTTTCTTTTATCAAAAAAAGGGTGAGGATTATAAAGTTGAATCTTCCTTGGGCCCCTTTCTTTCCTTCCCTATGAATTTGAGAGGTTTCATTCCAGCCCACTTGATTTATTTAAATATCTGTTCATTTAAAATAGTGCATTTCTGATGAATGTCAGATGGACACAAATCTTCAATAGCCCTTAATTTGCACTGTCACCTATGTCGTGTTTAGGGGACAGAACTCTTTCAGGGTTAGAGGTTGTACATCATTTCACATGATTTCTTGCTAAAAACTGGAGAAGTATTCAGTGTTTTACAGAGTTTCAACTACCTGGTTTAAACTTTCAGATACAGATGATCCAAAATGTAAATGAAGTGAAACTTGTTTTCATACTGGATTACATCTTTTTGTTTGTTCATTTGTTTTTGTGGGGCTTGAACTCACAACCCTGAGATCAAGACCTGAGCTGAGATCAGGAGTCATATGCTTAACTGACTGAGCCACCCGGGCGCCCCAGTACTGGATTATGTCTTAAGTCCAAGTATCTACTGTATTATTTTGTTTAAAAATAATTTTTAAAAATGTATATGGAGTTTCTTATTCCATTTATCCTCCTACAAATTACAGTAAATATTTATCTTTTCCACAATAGCTTAATCATCATTTTTTTTTTTTTTTTTTTTTTAGATTTTATTTACTTGACAGAGAGCCACGAGAGAGGGAACACAAGCAGAGGCAGGGGGAGTGGGAGAGGGAAAAGCAGGCCTCCCGCCCAGCAGGGAGCCCGATGCGGGGCTCCATCCCAGGACCCTGGGATCGTGACCTGAGCGGAAGGCAGATGCTTAACGACTGAGCCACCCAGGCTCCCATCTTATTTTTTTAAGTAGGCTCCACGCCCAGCACAGGACTTGAACTCATGACCCTGAGATCAAGACCTGAGCTGAAATCAGGAGTCCAGACACTTAACCACCTGAGCCACCCAGGTGCCCCCTAATATTATCTTAAATTCCTTTTGCAGAGATACTTGCTAGAAATAAAAATTCTCAGGCCTTTACCCCCAGAGATCCTGATTACTAGGTCTGAGGTGGGGCCTGCCAGTAGCTGATGTGATTGTCATGCAGCAGTCCTTAGGTCCACACTTTGAAAATATTCCTTTGCCATAGGATGATGGCTTCAGAACATAATTTCAACCACGCCTTTTCTGTAAAGGCCAGGTAGTAAATATTTTAGGCTCTTGGGCCATGTGGTTTCTCCAGCAACTACTTAACTCACCTTAACAGCAAGAAAGCTGCTATAGTTAATCTGTAACAAATGAATGCAGCTGTGTTACAATAGAACTTCATTCATGAACACTGTTTTTATATGCCATGAAGTGTACTGTTCTTGTGATTTAATTTTTAGCCATTCTGAGCTCATGAGCTGTACAAAAACGTGGTGGGCTAGACATGGTCTGCCTGCTGTGGTTTGCCCACCCCTGATTTGAAGCAGAGTAGAGTGAGGTTCGCCGGCCACCACATTCTCCCATAGCATGTGAATAACAGTAATACAATCTATATAAATTATGCTAATAATATAATATAAACAATTGTCATAAATAAAGAATTATGTATATTGTCCTATTAGACTATTTTTTCAGGAGACAATTAAAGACAAGGGAATAAAAAATAAAGACCAGGGAATAACTTCAGGATCCTTTGCCTTTGCACTTATATTTAGCTAAAAACTTGATTCCTCCCTTTGCTACAGGGGCGCCCAGACACACCCAGTTGCCCTCAGAGCGAGTTAGGGCTGGTGTCCCAGCCGGGAAAGGGCACGGAGCTTCATCGGGTTCCCTCTTCCTAGTAAATTCAAGAGACTTACCTGGCTGGTTATCTTACTCTCCTAAGGAACTCTAGTGGGTAACTAGATGCCTTTGATTTATAAAGAAAAATGGGAAATTAATTTATCAATACTTTATAAATGAAGTTAATTTGCTAGGAAATCACCAAAAATGTGGAATTGGGTCATGGGTATGATAAAGAAATCCTTGTATGGAGAAAGTTGAGGCTCACTGCTTGGGTTTTAAGGGTGTTGGTACATCCACTAAGACATTAGAGTAAAATGGTCGAAGTTTGTCAGCTATTCACTGTTGAGCTCTTTTAGTCCTATGAACTTTAATTTATAAATCCTTTTTTGTCTTCCTTAAAGTAATAATGAACTTTTAAGGACTGAGATCTTATTAATAAAAAAAAAATCTGCATTTTCTGAGATTTCATAGTCTTGCTTCTCAGAGGGTGGTAATGACTGGCAATTTTGAGGCACATTTTTATCTATTTTGGGTTTAATTGCTGTGTTTTTTTAAAGTACTCTGCATCTAGATGTTATGACCTATATAAATCAAAGTTCACTGCTTAACCAAGAGTCTATGATTCATATTTAATTTTTGCCACTTACTCCTTGAAGATTTTCAAGTATTTATATAGGCCCTGGCACAAATTGGTTTCTAGTTATCACCAAACAGATTTAAATGTGATTGTGGAAGATTTTGCACACATTTTCTTGGTTTAGGTTTATCAGATTTTTCACATCCTAAGACCATCTCGTACCACATAGCAGTTTAGGATTTTTTAGATTCATATCTACATTATTGATAAAGCACAATGAGACTGACCTTATGTGCCTTAATTTCTTTCCTTTGCAGTTTTTGTTTTCTTCCCCAGTGAAATGGGGACATTTTGGTAGTCTTCCGATCAGTTGACCTGTCGTGGTCAGATTGTATGACTAATCAACAAATGGACAACTCCTGGAAAAGGGGTTCTGGTCCCAGTGGGGTTACTACTTTTCTATGTAAAGTCTGGGAAAGCCTCTTAACCTCCATTTACCCCTGATTTCTCATCTGGGAACCATGACAACAGAACAACACTAATCCACGTGAGGCTGAGCATGTCATGGAGCTTCAACAAAACAGGCACTTTTTTTTTTTTTTTTTTCCTCCAGCAAGTCCAGTGAGACAGACTGAGGCTGATTGAGAGCGATGTTTCTTGTACTTTACTGTGTATATAGATCACCTGGGGTCTGTTCACTGTGGAATCCCATTCCATAGGTCTGGGATGGGGCCTGAGATTATGCATTTCTGTCAAGCTCCAGGTTAACGCTGCTGGGTCTTGGATCACACTTGGAGTAGTGAGGGGTTATAGAAAAGGCTTGGGGGCATCTGTGTGGCTCAGTCGGTTAAGCGACCACCTTCAGCTCAGGTCATAATCTCAGGGTCCTGGGATCGAGTCCCGCATCGGGGTCCCTGCTCAGCGGGGAGTATGCTTCTCCCTCTGCCCCTCGCCCTGTTCTCATGCTCTCTCTCTCTCTCTCTCTCAAATAAATCTTTAAAAAAAAAGGGGGGGGCTTGTGTTCTCTATTTGGAATCTGAAAGTAAGAAGGCTCTTGAATGTCAAGAATGGTAGTCTTATTTTTTAAAATTTTTTATAAAGATTTTATTTATCTGAGAGAGAGTGGGGGAGAGTACACAGAGCGGGGGGGGGGGGCATGGCAGAGGGAGAGGGAGAAACAGACTTCCCACCAAGCAGGAGCCCGACACGGGGCTTGATCCCAGGACCCTGAGATCATGACCTGAGCTGAAGGCAGACACTTAACCAACTGAGCCACCCAGGAGCCTATAAATGGCAGTATGTTTTAAATGGACTGGAGAAGTACAATAGTATCCTCTATGAGACACCTCCCCAAGAAACAGACAACTCTGTTTTTTAGCCCCATTGACTGTTTTACTTTACTTTGATCCTGTGTCTTCTCTGAATTGCTAAGGTACCCACTGTTTGCACCACTCATTTGAGTCACTTAATGGTAGTCGATCTCCTATTATTCAACTGTTTTATAACGTATCTTGTGTCATCTCTTTAGGATGATAAAATCCTAGCATAGGGTGATGGTTTATGTTACACCTTCATATCCTTGTTTCAGCTTTTGCTGCCTAGCACACCATTCCAAACTCAGTGGTGTAAAAACCATTTTTATTTTGCTCACAGATTCCTGTAGGTCAGGAATTTGGACTTCATGTAGTGGGGACAACTTGTCTTTGCTCCACAATGTCTGGGGCCAGTGGTGGGATAGTCAAAGACTGTAGGTGACTCAATGTCTGGGAGCTAGAATCATCGATTTGTCTTTACTCATACTTCGTAGTTGATCCTGGCTCTCAGCTGACACCACCTGGGCTGCTCTCTGAGACACCTGCGTATGACCTCACCACATGGTAACTCTCTTGAGCTTCCTCACGGCATAGCAGCTGGGTTCTGAGAGCAAGTCCCAAGACAACAAGGTAGAAGTGTGTGATGTGTTTATAATCTAGCCTTGGAAGTATTATTTCTGCTCTACTCTTTTGGTTGAGTTGACCATATTGTAAGAAGGTCAAGTGGGATGGGAGATATTGTGGTCATTTGTGGCAAAGACCTTTTCCCTGTACCCCCACATGACTTAGAATAGTGTGAGTGGGGTGCTCACTCCGAGAGTACCCTCCAACCTGCCTTAGCCTTTTACTCTGCTAATAGAGCCTCTCGTTCTGTCCTCCAGTACACATTATGTGTCACACTGGGGGGATATATGTGGCCAAACCAGAACGGGGACTCTGTCCTTAGTTTTATGTGTATTATTTATGTTTATTCTCATCCCGGGACATCCATCTTCATATCAGTTCATGTATGTGGTGGGGAAAAGCAAAAACAACCCCTCTTCCATAAGTAAGATGCTGAGGTGTTTTAGCCAAATTACTAAAGCTTTCCAGATGGGCGAGAACAATTTGTAGCTTTTATTTCATTTAAATACAAATATAACTCAACATTTGAGTTTTGTTTGTTTTTTTGAGATTTTATTTGTCAGAGAGAGCATGAGCAGGGGGAGCGGCAGGCAGAGGGAGAAGCAGGCTCCCCGCTGAGCAGGGAGCCCAATGCGGGGCTCGATCCCAGGACCCTGGGGTCATGACCTGAGCTGAAGGCAGACTCCCAACCAACTGAGCCACCCAGGCGCCCCATGAGTTTTATTTTTAAGAGTATTTTAATTTTTTCCCCAACAGAACACATTTCTGATTTAATAATGAAAATTAACGAGAAAAGTAGCATTTATTTACTTATGGCAATGTAGGCTAACATGCTTCTATTTTAAAAAGGGTGACTTTAGGGGCGCCTGGGTGGCTCAGTTGTTAAGCGTCTGCCTTCAGCTCAGGTCATAATCCCAGGGTCCTGGGATCGAGCCCCGCATCGGGCTTCCTGCTCGGCAGGAGGCCTGCTTCTTCCTCCTCTCCCATTCCCCCTGCTTGTGTTCCCTGTCTCACTGTGTCTCTCTCTGTCAAATGAATAAATAAAATCTTAAAAAAAAAAAGGTGACTTTAGCTAGTTCTTTTAAAAAAAAAAAAAAACCTTAATGTGATTACATAGGCTTTTCAGATATAAAAAAATAACAGTGTCAGCCTCTAGTATATACTGTGTCCTTCTGAAATTCCTAAAGCAGCTAAAAGTAATTTAGTCAGATCATTTTAGATGGTCATCTCTAGCATCCTTCTGGCCATTTTCTGCTTATTCAATGTGAGAAGAGAGAAAGCAGTAGATAGATTTTTAGTTTCCAACAGCTAATTTTAGTGGTTATTTGCTATGATTAAAAAAAAAAAAGCAGGGCACCTGGGTGGCTCAGTTGGTTAAGCGACTGCCTTCAGCTCAGGTCATGATCCTGGAGTCCCGGGATCGAGTCCCGCATCGGGCTCCCTGCTCAGCGGGGAGTCTGCTTCTCCCTCTGACCCTCTTCCCTCTCGTGTTCTCTATCTCTCATTCTCTCTCTCTCAAATAAATAAAATCTTAAAAAAAAAAAAAGAAAGAAAGCAAACTAGCCTCCATGGCATTGGGATGGATGCTCCGAGTACATCGTGAGCCCAGGTAGCGATTCCAAGGCTGCGCCAGGTACGGACACCAGTGGTAACGCAAGGCTGGCACCCCCATCCCAGGACTGCCCAGCGCACGGAGCAGTCTGGTGTCACTAGCTTATGCCTCAAGAGTACAGGCCACCTGGACAGACACTAGCTGTGCGTTTTTGCTGAGCACTTTAGTGCTTTGATGTTTATTATTCAGACAGACTGGCAAGATGTTTCTTAGAACTTGGGAAAAAAAAAAAGAAGTACCTCTCTAGGGTTGGTTTAGGATAGCTCCTCCCTTCTGTCTTGCACCCACCCCACCCCCATTCTCCTGGCTCGGAAAGCATTTTTCCCTCCAAGAGGTAAATGCAGCTGCCAGAGCAACTTGGAAGGACTGCGTTGACCACCATGGACAGCGACATGAACTTCTCTGGTCACCTCAGAGACAGGTGTACTGCAGTGGGGTGCTCACTCAGAGAGTACCCTCCAACCTGCCTCAGCCTTTTACTCCGCTAATAGAGCTCCTCGTTCTGTCCTCCAGTACATGCTGACCAAGATGATTTTGACGAGCCTGTGATGTAATATACATGAATTCTTTCCTTCTTCATGGTCAGAATCTCCTGGTCTTGGCCCTGGAGCACACTAGGGCTTCCTGTTGTGCCCTCCGTGGAACCATCCCTTGCTGAGGCCCCTCTGCTCCCAAGGGGGGCCGTCTGTGTCCTGAATGGTACAGCAGTCTGTGGCAGTATTTCCCTATTCTGGGCGACCGGAGAAACTGGAGTAGCTCAGCCCATCTGGGCTTTTCTGTAAGCAGCGTTTAACCCCATTGTTCTCGGCAGATCCAAGACCCCTATCCCACACTGAAGGTGCTGGCTGCTGGTGTCGCAGTGCTGTAAGGCCGGTAGTGAGGTCACAGTCACGCAGAAGGGCAGCGTGTGGGCTTGAGCTAGGAGCCCAGACACCTTGGGCCTTCTGGTTCTGGCACGTCTCATCTCTAAGTGGGAATCAGCTCCCCCTCTCTGAGCCTTCTATTTTCTGGTCTGTAAAGGGGCCAGGAGTGTTTGTCAGAGGAGCATCAGTAATAGCCATCCCCTCTGCATGCGCTCCGGCAGACATTGTTTTTCTAAGCCTCGGACCCAGCTTTGGCAATCTGGTGCAGGTTTGCTGGCATGAGACTGACTGGCAGCAGCAGGGAGGGAGCATCATGTCTGTCTCACTTGGATTCTGCCCTGAGGACTCACAATCTGTTTTCTCTGCAGTACCAAGTACCTTCTCACTGCCCAACACAGGAGTTAGCAAAGTTAAGCTTCCGGGCCACCCATTATTTACCGTTGATGAAGACCCTTCTGCTGTAAAGACCAGTGAGTCTAGGACCTTTGTCTCAGGAGAGCAAGTGGCTTCCCGAACAGAATGATGACTTGGGAGACCACAAGACTGAGTTACTAGTAATTAGACAGTGACTAAATAGCCTGGTTGGAAGTTTGATTAGCATCTGCCAGTTTTTCCTCAGTCAGGAGGGAGTTAGCACCAGCAGTCTGAGAGCCTGATTTTGTGTTTATTACTACAGTGACTTTGCTTTTTAAATCACTGGGATTGTGCCGGGGAAGGATGTGGAAGTGGTGCGAGACTGTACTTTGCAGCAGGACAGGATGTTCTCCTATATAAATTCTGCCCATTTCCATCTAACACACACACCTGCACACATTTCCTTAGGTGACTACTTCCTGTTCCTCTTCATGATGCGATTTCACCTAAATACTGCGTGTCTGCCGGTATCCAATTGCGGGCCCCCAGAGAAGGCTGGAACCTTGGGGGAGGCAGCACCCTTCAGACAAGGGCAGACTCTGGAACTTACCAGGACCAGCACTCTGAGTGTCTCGGTCTTGAAGTGGGGAACCAGTGGCTCACCCCGGCGTTGACCTCTGCAGTGGTTCTCAAAGTGTGTCCTCTGACTGGCAGCATCACCTTGGGGATGCCAGTTCCCCACCCCCCCCACCCCCGTCTTGCGGCTACTGAATCAGAAACTCCTGGGGTATGGTTCAGAAATCTGTTTTAGCAAGACTCTGATGCAGGCTAAAGTTTGAGAATCACTGTATTATGAAGCTATAACTGTTTCATTTATCTTTTTATTGAGGTGTAATTGATATATGTTTCAGGTATACAGCATAATTTGATATTTACATTAGCACAAAATGATCATCACAGTAAGTCTAGTAACATCCATCACTATATAGTTACAAATTTTTTTTTGTAATGAGAACTTTTTTTTTTTGTCACAAGGGGTGTTTTATTTTCATTAAACGTACAAATAATTTGCTGTAATATCCCAGGGCAAACTGGAGAATTTGGCAGTCCGACTGGGGGGGCGGTCCCCTCAGAGACCCGCAGGCTGGCGGCGTCGGCACGGAGTGCCCGGGTTCACAGTGCAGCTTGTCGCTCGTGTCCATCTTGCAGGCAGCTCTTCTTCCTCCACATCACAACTGGGGTGTCTCGAAGATGATGGGGGTGCGTCATGAGAACTTTTAATAAGATTTACTCTCAGCAATTTTCAAATATGCAATACAGTAATATTAACTTGTATAATACATCCCCATGATTTATTTTATAACTGGAAGTTTGTATCTTTTGACCTTCTCCGCCCATTTAGTGCCCCCTCCCCCACCTCTGGCAACTACCAGTCAGTTCTGTGTGTCTGTGAGCTCGTTTTCATTTTCTTTTTAGATTCCACATATAACTGATAGAATAATTGTCTTTTTCTGACTTATTTCACTTAGCAAAATGCCCTCAAGATCTATTCATGTTACCTCAAATGTAAGATCTTCTTTATGGCTGAATAACATTCCATTGTGTTTATATACCACATTTTCTTGATCTCTTCCATCTATCAGTGGACCCTTAGGTGGTTTCCGTGTCTTGGCAGTGAACATGGGGGTGCATATATTTTTTCAAGTTAGTGCTTTTGTTTTCTTCAAATAAGTACCCAGACGTGGACTGCTGGATCATATGGTAGGTTTTTTTGTTTTGTTTTGCTTGTTTTTAAGTAATCTCTACCCTGATTGTGGGGCTTGAACTCATGACCCCGAAATCAAAAGTCGCATGCGGCACTGACTGAGCCAGCCACGCGCCCCTGGTCATTCTATTTTTAATTTCTTGAGGAACCTCCATATTCTTTTCAACGGCGGCTGCACCAGTTTCCATTGCCGCCAACAGTGCACAAGTTCCTTTTTGTCCACATTCTTGCCACCACTTGTTACTTCCTGTCTTTTTGGAACAGCCATTGTAACAGGTGTAAGGTAGTATCTCACTGGGGTGTAACACACTGATTTACAGATGTTGAACCATTCTTGCATCCCTGGAACAAATCCCACTTGACTGTGATGTATGATTCTTTCAATGTATTGTTGAATTCAGTTTGCTAGTGTTTTGTTGAGGATTTTGCATTATGTGCATCAGGGATATTGGCCTGTAATTTTCTTGTGGTGTCTGGTTTTAGTATCAACATAATCCTGACCTTGTAAAATGAGTTTGGAAGTGTCCCCTCCTTTTCTATGTTCTGTAAGAGTTTGAGAATGGTGGTATTAATTCTTCTTTAAATGTTTGGTAGAATTCACCAGTGAAGCTGAGTGGTCCTGGACTTCCATTTGTTGGAAGGTTTTTGATTTCTGATTCAGTCTCCTTACTAGTTGTAGATCTGTTCATAGTTTCTATTTCTTCATCATTCATTCTTGGCAGGTTGTATCTTTCTAGGAATTTGTCCATTTCTTTTAGGTTGTCAAATTTGTTGGTTTAATTGTTTATAGTAGTCTCTTATCCTTGGTATTTCTTTGTAGTATTGGTCATAACTTCCCTTCTTGCATTTCTGATTTTATTGAGTCTTTTTATTTTCTTGGTAAGCCTAGCTGAAGGTTGTCAATTTTATCTTTTCAAAGAAACAGCTTAGTTTCATTGATCTTTTCTAGTGTCTTTTTAGTCTCTATTTCATTTATTTTTACTTTGACCTTTGGTATCTCCTTCTAACTTTGGACTTTTTCTTTTTCTAGTTCCTTGAGGTATAAAGTTAAATCTTTGGAGAGCTTTTTTGATTCTTGATGTAGGCATTTATCACTGTAAACTTCTCAGAACTGCTTTTGCTGCATCTCTTAAATTTTGGTATGCTACATTTCCATTTGTCTCAAGGTAGTTTCTGACTTCTGTGAACCATTGGTTGTTCAGTAGCATGTTGTTTAATCTCCACATATTTGTTAATTTTCCAGTTTTCTTCCTGTAATTGATTTCTGGTTTCATACCACTATGGTTGGAAAAGATGGTAGGTATCACTTGAGTCTTCTTAAATTTATTAAGACTTGTTTTTGTAGCCTTATAATCTATCCTGGAGAATGTTCCATGTACTCTTGAGAATATGTATTCTTTTTTTTTTTTTTTTTAAGGATTTTATTTGAGAGCAAGGGAATGAGAGATAGCAAGAGAGGGGAGAGGGTCAGAGGGAGAGGCAGACTCCCTGCTGAGCAGGGAGCCCGATGTGGAACTCGATCCCGGGACTCCAGGACCATGACCTGAGCCGAAGGCAGTCGCTTAACCAACTGAGCCACCCAGGCACCCAAGAATATGTATTCTCTTCTAGATGAAATGTTTTGTATATGTTAAGTCCATCTGGTCTAAGGTGTTAAGACCGGTGTTTCCTTATTGATTTTCTGACTTGGATGATTTATCCATTAACGAAAGTGGGTTGTTAAAGTCCCCTGTTATTGTATTGCCATCTATTTCTTCCTTTAAGGTCTGTTAATATTCCTTTATATATTTAGGTGCTCCTATGTTGGGTGCATAATTTAAAAAATTTTTTTAAGTAATCTCTACACCAAGGTGGGTTTCAAGCTCATAATCCTGAGATCAAGAGTCACACACCCCACTGACTGAGCCAGTCAGGCGCCCCTGCTTGGCACATGATTATTTACAAATGTTATATCCTTTTGTTGAATTGATCCCTTTATCATTATGTCATGCCTTTCTTGTCTCTTATTAGTCTTTGTTTTAAAAAGTCTTTTTTGTCTGATGTAAATATAGTTAGTTACTCCAGCTTTCTTTTGGTTTCCATTTACATGTAATGTCTTTTTCTATCCCTTCACTTTCAGTTTGCATGTATCCTTACATCTGAAGGGAGTCTTTTGTAGGCAACATATAGACGGGTCTTTTTTCATACTGCCATTTTGTTCAGTGTTTTCTGGCTGTCTTGTAATTCCTGTTACTTTCTTCTCTTGCTCCCTTTGTGATTTGATGATTTTGTGGTATGCTTAGATTCCTTTATCTTCTCTGTACCTACCGTAGGCTTTTGCTTTGTGGTTACCATGAGGCTTACATATAACAACTTATAAGAGTCTATTTTAAGTTGATAACTTTGAATACATTCTAAAGCTCTACAGTTTTACACACACCCCCGATTTTATATTTTTGATGTCACATTTTATTTTTTTAAGATTTTATTTATCTGAGAGCGAGCGAGCAAGCACGAGCAGTGGGGTGGGGGGAGGGCAGAAGCAGAGGGAGAAGCAGGCTCTCCGCTGAGCAGAGAGCCCGATGCAGGGCTCAGTCCCAAGACCCTGGAATCATGACCTGAACCAAAGGCAGACGCTTAACCGACTGAGCCATCCAGGCGCCCCATTAAATTACTTTTTAAAGATTTTTTTTTGAGAGTGTGCACTTGTGAGTTGGGGGGGGGGGGGGGAAGCTGACTGCCCACTGAGTGTGGAGCCTGACTCAGGGCTCTGTTCCACAGCCCTGAGATCAGAACCTGAGGTGAAACCAAGAGTCAGACACTTAACCAGCTAAACCACCCAGGTGCCCCTTTGATGTCCCATTTTACATCTTTTTATCTTGTATATCCCTTTACTAGTTATTGCGGTTATAGTTATTTTTACTACTTCTTTTAACCTTCATAGTAGCTTTTTTTTTTTTTTTAAGATGTTATGTGTCAGAGGGCACACACACACAAGCAGGGGGAGGGGCAGAGACCGAGGGAGAGCAGGCACCCCACTGAGCAGGGAGCTCCATTTGGGACTCGATCCCAGGACCCTGGGATCATGACCCGAGCGGAAGGCAGCCGCTTAACCAACTGGGCCACCCAGGTGTCCCCATAGTAGCTTTGTAAGTGACGAATCTACCACCTTTATGTTATTCTAAATTTTACTATATCTACCTTCACCAGTGAGATTTATACTTTCATGTGTTTTCCTGTTACGAATTAGCACCCTTTCTTTTCAGCCTAAAGAAGTCCCTTTAACATTTCTTGTAAGGCCAGTTTAGTGGTAATGAACTCCTATAGTTCAAAACTCTTTCTCTCCTTCACTCTTGTATGACAGCTTTGCTGGGTAGAGTATTCTTGGAAGTGTTTTCTTTCACTGCCTTGAATCGGTTGTGCCACCTCTCTGCTGGCCTGCAAAGTTGCTGCTGAAAAATCTGATCGTGTTGTGGGGGGGGGGTCCCTTGTATGTAACAAGTTCTTTTGCTGCTTTTAAGATTCTTTGTCTTTTAACATTTTAACAGCTTAATTATAATGTGTCTTAGTGTGTGTCCCTTTAGGTTCATCTTATTTGGAATTCTCTGAGCTTCCTCGATGTGGATGTCTGTTTCCTTCGCCAGCCAGGTTAGGGAAGCTTTCTTAGCCATTATTTTTCCACATAAGTTTTGTGCTCCTTTTTCTTCTCCTTCTGGGACCTCTGTAATGTGAATGTTGGTCCACTTGATGTTGTCCCATAAATACCTTAAGCTGTCTTCACTTTCTTTCTTTTGCTGCTTGATTGTATCAGGTAGTTCTCCCATTGAAACCCTCTAGTTTATTTTTCAGTTCAGTTAGTGTGTTCTTCAGCTCCATGATTTCTCTTTGGTACTTTCTTACATTTCTGTCTGTTGAAGCTCTATGTTCACTCTTCTCCCAAGTTCAGTGAGCATCTTTCTGACCATTATTTTGAACTCTTTTCTCAGGTAAATCACTTATCTCCATTAAGGACTTTTTCTGAGATTTTATCTTGTTCTTTCATTTGGAACATATTTTTCTGTTTCTTCATTTTCCTCAACTCTGTGTTGGTTTCTATGCATTAGATAAAACAGCCACCTCTCCCAGGCTTGAAAGGAGTGGCCTTGTATAGGCGATGAAACTTATTCAGTACGGCCTTCGTTTTGCTTTTCTCTCAGACCTTTGTGATTGTCCCAGCAGCCTATTTATTTTTAGTGGCTCCCAGTCGTTGCTTGTGTGACAAGACCTGTCAGTGTTCTAAAGGGGAGGATGTCACTCAGCAGCTTTTAACATATGCAGGTAAGCATAGTCCTGTGGAACTGTGTCGGTCTCCTTGGCCAGCAGAACCCGGTGATCTAGAGGTGTCCCCTGGACAGCAGTAAAAAATCAGGACACCAGGGCGCCTGGGTGGCTCAGTCGTTAAGCGTCTGCCTTCGGCTCAGGTCATGGTCCCAGGGTCCTGGGATCGAGTCCCACATCGGGCTCCCTGCTCCGCGGGAAGCCTGCTTCTCCCTCTCCCACTCCCCCTGCTTGTGTTCCTGCTCTTGCTATGTCTCTCTCTGTCAAATAAATAAATAAAATCTTTAAAAAAAAAAAAAATCAGGACACCAGACAGGCGTACAAGTTCCTTTCCAGGAGCTACTGGACACTTGGAGTGGGGCAGACGGAAAGCACAAAGATGGCGCCCCCTGGCTTTGGTCCCTGGAGTGAGCCCAGGTGGGCCCCCAGGCGTGTGCCAAGGCAGACGCCTGCCCTTGAGGCTAAAGCTCCAGGACAAGCAATAGCCTTTTTCACAGAAAAAGTTTGTGTTTTTTTCCCCAAGTTGGCTGGCTGTGCAGTGCCCCGGGGGTGGTAGCCAGTGAGAATGGTCTCTTCGTTTGTGAGTCTCATGGGGCCCGGGAAGGGAAGCCCCACTGAGCACCAAGCTGGCAGGCAGTGGGTGGCCCCTGGGTGACAGCCACCAAAACCAGGGCACAGACACATGGAGAAGCTCCTTTCTGGGAAATACTGGCATTCTGGAGAGGACTGCAGTGGATGCTTAACATCCATATGTGTTTAACTTAGAAGCCTGACCCGCAGGCCCCAAGCTAGAACTATTTTTAAAGCTTTTAAAAAACGTTAAATATGAACATGTCCTATGATCCAGCCCTTCCACTCCTGGGTATTTAACCAGGAGAAAGGAAGGCATATGTCCACACAGATACCTACACATGAATGTTTTACGTCATGTTATACATCAGCTTTACTTGTAATAGCCTCAAACTACAAACAACCCAATTTCCATCAGTAAGTGATTAAACCATGATGTGTCTGTGCCATGCAATAGTACTCAGCAACAAAAAGGATGAACTGTTGATATATGCAGCAACATAGGGGAATGTCAAAATAATTATGCTGAGTGAAAGGCCAAATGAATAAAATCCCTACAGGAGAATTCCATTATATAAAGTGTAGGAAATGTACACATAGTGACTGAACATCGTTGCTTGGCAGGGGCTAGCGGGTGAGGGAAGGGATGAGTTAAAGGAGCATGAGGAACCCTGGAGGGGGCGATGGAGAGGTTTATCACGTTGAGTCATGGTGTGTTGAGTGCACGCACAGAATTCAAAACTCATCAGGTTGTACACCTGGTCAGGCGGTGTGTCAGTCACACCTCAACAGGGCTGTGAAAGTACTTGTGATGGTTACCTGGGAAAAGCGGAGGGACAGGGAGGGGAGGAACACACTGTAACAACGCTTATAGGTGCTCATCATGTCGTAAGTGAACGAACAGCTAAGAGGTCCAGTGTGGAGGAGAAGGTGCAGGCTCCGAGTGCCGTCTGGCCCCAGCAGCCACCGCTTGGCCGGTTGGTGCTCGTGCACGGGTCCCTGCGTCTGGCCAGGCCGCTGAGTGGACCGAGGGCGCAGGGAAGACGCTCTAGCTTGGTCTGCATCTTTCCCAGGCCCTGTGAGCAGTGCCTTATTACATTTCCTTTCACAAATTTGTCTTTGTTACGGCCAAACCTGTACGTACCAGTTGTTACACCAGGAGTTACATGTCCTTACCAAAAAGCTGAGACTCAGATTGCTATTTCTTACTGGTACGTTCTTTAGTTAGCTTTCCACTTGCTGGTTTTATCCCAGTCAAACCCAGTTTAGTAATAAAACCCAGGAGGAATTCTTTTGAACTTCCTGATTGGCCACATTGTTGCCTCCTTGTCTTTCTGCAGATCTGATTTGTATCCACTGTGATCAGCACTCTCAATTAGGACTTTCCAGATCCTGACCCAGGACTGCGGAGTAACCAGATTCCTCACAAGTGAGTTGGCACCGGCACCACCTTTGTGGCACTGAGGATGTTCTTGTCCAACTGCAATCATTTCAGGGGCCCCTACAGTACCCTGGGTGGGGAGGAGCACGTTTCCCCCAGGCCCAGACTGTATAGTAGTGTGAGGAAGTGATCTAAAATCTCAGGAAACCAGTGTTTTCTATTTCTTTTGTTACTGGTATCCTATATAGACATTATATAATATTAAAGTCTTTTAAACACTGTACTGAGAGAAGGTAGATCTCAAATATTAAACTAAAATTTAATTCCAACAAGCATCTGAAGCCCGTGGGATTCGTCTTGGAGTTGAGAGTTGGCTGAGGAAGGTGATGTTCTCATTTAACCACACCCAGGGTCAGGTCAACTAAAACGCTCATGAACTTAATGTATTTTTTTAAGATTTTATTTGAGAGAGAGAGGGTGTGCACGAGTGGAGGGGAGGGGCAGGGGACCCTGGGATCATGACCTGAGTTGAAGGCAGATGCTTAACCGACTGAGCCACCCAGGTGCCCCTAGACTAATGTATTTATTAAAAAATTAAGTAATCTCTGCACGCAACGTGGGGCTCAAACTCACGACCCTGAGGTCAAGAGTCACATGCTCTACTGACTGAGCCAGCCAGGTACCCAGTAGACTAATGTAAGATCATGGCCTTCAAAGTGCCTGGGATTATTGCCATGGAAATGCCACAGCATGTTACTATTTAGTGATTAATTTATGAATGATGTATTTTAGAGTGTGAGAGTATGGGGAGGGGGGTGCATAGAGGGGGAACCTTAAGCAGGCTCCACACCCAGCCTGAAGCAGGGCTCAGTCTTGTGATCCTGAGATCACAGAGTCAGATGCTCAACTGACTGAGCTACCTCGGTGTGCCTTAGCTAAGGTGACCATATGTCTTGGCTTTTCTGTAACTCATTCTGAATTCATTATCCTTTCAGTTTATAAAAGCAGTTCCTTGAATATATTACCTAATGTGGTATCATTTTTATACCTTTGATATCTTTGTAAGATCTGTCTAGAATTAGGTTTAGGAAAATGTAGTCCTCAGAGCTACGGAAATAGACGAGGTATATGAAGGCACAGGGCTCTTGGAGCAATCAGAATTTCTAATTTCTTCCGAATTACCATGGAGCACCACTCCCCCTTCAATAAGAGCAAGGCCCTGCAAGATTGTTTTTCAGGAATCAGTTGGGCGTGTTTGAGTTTAGAATTGTTTCTAAAATAGGATGACTATTTCCATTTACACCCCCCTTTTTTAAAATAGAATCACCAGAGAGCTGAGTTTTAACATTGACTACTTTTCCTGTTAATCAATAGAAAATGATTTATCTACATCCTTGAAAAAATGAACCATTTCTAATCCTTTCACCTTCCTAGTCTACAAAACTAGAGAAGGCCGTGATGCATCCAGAATCGGGAGCATGGAAAGTACTGACAGATACCTGTGTTTTTCAGGAAGGAGACAGTGATTTCGGATTCCTTGGTGGAGGAAAACCAAACCCTCTGGTCTTGCTTCCAACGATGCAAGTGTGATCGCTGGCATCTTCATGAGCTCCAGAGGTCACAGCACACTTCCACGGACTCTCATGGCCCCTCGGATGATTTCTGAGGGCGATGTAGGAGGCATCGCTCAGATCACCTCCTCTCTCTTCCTGGGCAGAGGCAGTGTGGCCTCCAACCGGCACCTCCTGCAGGCTCGTGGCATCACCTGCATCGTTAATGCTACCATCGAGATCCCCAATTTCAACTGGCCCCAGTTTGAATACGTTAAAGTGCCTCTGGCTGACATGCCTCACGCCCCCATTGGACTGTACTTTGACACGGTAGCCGACAAGATCCACAGCGTGAGCAGGAAGCACGGGGCCACGCTGGTGCACTGTGCCGCGGGGGTGAGCCGCTCGGCCACTCTCTGCATCGCTTACCTGATGAAATGCCACAGCGTGTGCCTGCTGGAGGCCTACAACTGGGTGAAGGCCCGCAGGCCCGTCATCAGGCCCAACGTAGGGTTCTGGAGGCAGCTGATAGACTACGAGCGCCAGCTCTTTGGGAAGTCAACAGTTAAAATGGTACAGACGCCATATGGCATAGTTCCAGACGTTTATGAGAAAGAGTCCCGACACCTGATGCCTTACTGGGGGATATAAAGCCACCAAAGCCTGCATCAGCAGCCCCTTGAGCAGGACCAGCATCTGCTACACACCGTCTGCTCCCCTCTTCACCTTTCTTTTCACATGGTTGACTTCTGGTTCTCCCTGAAGTGTTTTTTACACTGGGTGTTCAAGTTTATTTTAAAAGCTAGGGAGGGAGGGGAAGAACATGAGGGGAATGCATACATTGCTAGTAACATTTTTAAAACTAACAAACATTTTGGAATAGTGTTTATGAAAATCTTTAACTGGCTTTTAATCATTTTTAACAATTTGAACAGTTTAATAAACTGGTTCTGCTATATTCTGAATCCCATGCCTTTAGGCATCATGGCAGGTGCGGGAGGAGCTCAGTGCAAAAATCACTTTGGGTCCTGATTAACCCTTTAGCGACCAGCTTTGCCCAAGGCTGCCGACCAAACCAATGCTTAAGGAAGATTGATACCAGCTTCAGTCTCTACTGGATTAGCCCTACTTTTTCCTTTCCTATTTAGTGACTCTGTAAGTTAAAAACATAAACCTTTATTATCTAGTTGTTAAGTAATTATAATGAAATCTGCTGCAAACACCCTCTTGGAATCATTGTGCCCCAGGACTATATTAGCATTATTTTTAATAAATATACCTGCATAACGTATTAGAATTTTTACTAAGAATGTCAGGGTGTGTATGTGTATGCGTGTGTTGATCCCGGAAGAGAGATGCTCTCCCCTAACTCCATTAGAATACGGTTCCTGTGACAACTGTGAATGCTACTTAAAACAGACACCCCAGCTGGACTATGTCAGCGTGCCGCATCTTGCAGGTGGGCAGATTCTAATGCCATTCACAATGCTAGAACAGTGGAAAACGGCATAGAGCGTGCACTCTGAGGAAAGGCCCTGTTTTCAGCTGTCTCTCCGTAAGTGGGGAGGCCTCCATCAAAGACACTGTTTAACAAAAGCTATGTCTTTGCCGCATTAACAAACACAAAAATGCCCTATAGGCCAAACCTCCAGTGATAAGCAAGTAACAATGGCTTCCTTTGTTGAAACTTGAAAATGTCACCCAGTTCACTGCTCCTAAAAAACATGACGACATAACTCCTCAGGGACTTGGTAGAAGTTTACTTGGTTCTCCCCTATTCCACACCCCTTACAAACTACTGGGACTCCTCCAGCTGCCCTTGCTTTGTCACGATGCTGCCAGGTAGGTTGCCGCTTGCTTATTCGCGGAATAAATTTCTAGATTTTTGGCCTATTTTGGCAAGAAGCCATAAATATAATGCCCATGGCTACATGTTTATATATATTATAGTTTCTAGATCTTACCTGGTCTGTAGCAATGGTTTCCATCCAAATTCTACCTTCATACCATTTACTTTTATAAACATGCACCACTGTCTAAACAGGAAAATTAAAATGAAGTTAATAGTTTCAATGGGAAAGCAGAGGAACCCATAAATGCTATATCAGCACATGGTCAAACATCAATCAGAAGAACAAAATGGTCCACGGCTGTGGCTTCTCTAGGATGAAGGCAAATTGGAAGTCTTGCAGTCTGTGGATTAAGAGTCCAAAAATAACCTCTGTACTACAGACAGGGAACACTTGGTGACAGATGTTCTTGGTAGGAAAATTTCCTGCAGAAATCCTAGCCAGCACCACGACTGGGATGTAACTAAGTACTTAAGAAGCCTAACACCTTATCTAAATGTCAGAGCTTATTAGTGGGTCACAAAGGAAGGTGTGTGACCTAGAGGGCATTAGGGGAATTTCTGTGGTGATCCCCAGCGCCAAGAAAGCATTGCAAATTTCTATAACGTAAAGGTCCTATAATCTTTCCAAAGCCTGAGATCACACAAGTCATTAAAAGTAGAAGGCATCCTTAAACGACCAAAAATACGTCCGTGCATACAAAACATTAAAATAATTTAAAATATGCAACCTATAGAGAGTGCTAACTAGTAGCCGCAGAAAAAATAAAGCATGGCTAGTAACAGAGCCTGTGCCTCTTCGACCTCAAGCACGTCTGGACAAAAATCAAATTACACACAGCCCTAGAATGTTGAAAAGCACAACACAATACCAAAAGAGAAGAGCGCTTACTAATCACCACTCAAGCAGTGGGGTTGAGCTGCCTGCACGATTCGCGGTACGGAAATAAGTAACCTTGGTTACTGTTTCCAGGGACACTGGACTCTCAGCGAAGAGCCGAGGTGAAGCTGAATGCAATGTGGAGCCATTAGAATTAACTTGTGTACATAAAGGAAATGCAGTGTTATTCCACACTCCCGAAATCCATATTGGTGGCATGTGAGTGAACATGCCACTGCTAAACAGATGCTACAAGGGGGTACTATTTCTTGTAGCCAAGGCTTCTTGGTGACGTCTGCTGTGTCCTCCCACACCTCCCGCGGACTGACTAAACCCCTCATACTTGGTAAGGCTAGCAGCAATTACGCTTACATTCTGGAATCCAGGAGTGGAACCATTCTAGTTAGCAGGTGAGCATACTTTTGAAAATGTCATTGACACAGGCCACTGCGACAGAGTAATAGTCCATATGGCATTCCCGAAAACTGTCTCAGCACTGTAAATTCTAACTGGGAGACACTCTTACTGCAAGCAAAGGTAGATTCTGTTATCATGGTTCTTTATGGAATGTACAAGATAGATTAGAAGCCTGCTTGAATCCTGGGGCCATGAGGAAACGAGGTGCTGCTCAGGCTGACGTGGGGCACGGAGGCCTCAGGGAAGCCTGGGAAATCGGCCCACTCGTGTGGTTACTAACACTCCGCGAGCCCCACGGAGGACAACAACCCTGAGGGTAACAATTCAGACAGCTGTGTCAGCTGGAGATTAATCTGGAGCAAAAGAGAAAAGCAGATTCATCTTACTTCTCTGCACTCTGGGGCACAGCAAGGTAAAGCAGAAGCCTCAACAAGAGCTGTTCAATGAAAACATTCTATACCTTTCTTGGAGAAGATGGGGCTAACAGGTGTAAGATGGAACACACTAGAATCCCTTCAAGTTTTGTCCTGAGAAGGGAAAACAATCTAATTAGTGATGTAAAGCAGCAATTTTATAGACAAAACTAATCTGTTCAGTTTATAAATAAAAACTAACTCGAGGTCAGACGGCCTAAGTCCTACAATGTGAAACACAAGATTCAGAGTCTTCATAAAAGCACATAATTTAGAATTCAGAGAAATGTATGTCCTAGTTTGGCCTATTCTTCCCAGGGCTTGACGATCCTTAACCATTTGGCTTCCCCCCCACCCCCTACTGATTTTATGTATTCAGTTTAAGTGGTAAAGAAAATTCCCTACACCAGATAGCAAGCGTGAGCCTTCTAGAATGCCATCTATTTTAGAACAATTTTCTTCCACTGCATCTAAGTCCTCTACCTCTACCGTAAATAGCCATCTCACTGTTTACCTCAGTAGGCCAGGAACTCCGGCTTCTAACCTGAACTAAGTTTTTTCAGGTCTCTCACATAGATACTGCCAAGTCAGGCAGCACTGGTCCCTGCACCATCATTTCTGGAAGTTTGGACACAGGCCACTGCAAAGAGGTTTCATTCAGCTGCCTTTCCAAATCTTGTCTGAACAAAAGGACCACGTTCACAGTCTTTGAGGTAAACCAAAGTTTTCTGTAGAGGCTCCTAAGGGGAAGGCTATTCATCCTGACACACAAGGATTTGGGCCTTTGTCAAAATGAACATTCAATCCATTGCAAAGTGCCCAAGCATGTTTGGAGGAAAAAGTCTTCTTGAAAGTTGACAGAGTTAGAAATGAACAAAAGGAGAACTGGTTCAGTTGTGACAGTAAAGTTGGTGAATCTACCCTCACCTACCTGCCCTTGTCTTGTCCCACGGAGACGAGCGGAAGTTTTTCTATAAAAAGAACATCAGTGGACTCTGAAAAACAAACTGAGGGTTCTAGAGGGGAGGGGGGGATGGGGGGATGGGTTAGCCCGGTGATGGGTATTAAAGAGGGCACGTTCTGCGTGGAGCACCGGGTATTATGCACAAACAATGAATCATGGAACACTACGTCAAAAACTAATGATGTAATGTATGGTGATTAACATAAAAAAAAATCAGTTGAATCACAATTTCCCCTTTTTATTCATGTAGATATCAACAAACTAAATGTGAGTAAGTGCATTCTACTTTACAGGACAACAGTGTTCTAGATCAAAGGAAGCACTGGCTCCAAACATGCTTGCCAGTTGCAGTCCTATTAACAACTGCTTTTTCTTCAAACATCAGTTCTTCACAGTTTCAATACTGCAGCAGCAAGTTATTCTTTAAAGAAAACTGTGGTCCACATTTTCAAACATCTTACCAGAACGAGAGATAAGTTAGCAAACTTCTGGTACCACGTGCAGTCTGGGCAAGGCAATTTTACCTCAAGCCCCCAAGACGGGCCAGTGGGACCTCAGGGGACAAAGGTCGTCTGTAGGAAGGCCTGGGAACCCAGCAGCTCCTTCTCCCTGCTGTGGCTGGGGGGATTCTTCATACAGCTTCTGGAGGTGAACCTTCTGTTTCTTGGTCCCTGTCACCTCATGGGGTATGAGGGGGAAAAAAACCCCAACCACCCAGTAGGTACTTTGTCGAGGAGCTCTTCAGAGCAGATCCGGCAGGATGAGGCCGGGAGGTTTTGGTTCAACACAGTTGATCCAGAAGTTGGCACAGCTGGCGTGATACTGGTGTCCTCCGTACGCCAGCTTGAAACCGTCTGTCTCTGAGCTGAACGCCTGCCGGAAGGAGAGACCAGTGGGGCAGGTCAGGCTGCTTCTGCAGCCAAGCGCCACTCGGCACGGCCAGCACGCACAGCACTCCAGGCCGCACGCCGAGGCCGCGACGCGCATAGAGGCTGAGCAGGGAGCTACAGCAATTCAAGTGAGGAAGTTCTTCGCTGCTAATTAAAGTTCTAAAAAAAATCTTTACCATGAAACCCAGTTTCAGCCAAAGAAGGCCAAATCTTTCACAGAAAAGTCAGACAGAGATTGAACCGGGGGAGGCCATGGGGGGCGGGGGTGTTCATTATATGGGGAACTGACACAGCCAAGGGCCGCGGCTGATTTTTATCCCTCACTGTGCCGGGGGTGGCCTGCCCCAAGGCGGGCTTTAACTGTGCGTGCGATCCCCCACCGCTCTGTGACTGACTACAGTCCTCGGGCGGAAAAAACACAGGATTGAAAGCTCTCAGGAACTAATGCCACTGGGGCCTGATAACTGAATCAACATAATTAAAAAGTCCAACCAGGCACAGGGTTTGTAAAAAGAGATACTAAAGCACCTAAGAATTACTCCCAGACGACTAATGCTTACAGGTAAGTCCCACTCAGCCAGCCCTAACCTCAACTCCCCGGGGGTTCTCTAAAGCACTACAAGTAAACAGAACTCCGAACCCCAATTTGTTTGTCTGATAACTGCCAAATCCTGCTGCTCTTTGATTTCATTTTCTGTGCCACAACTTCGTCTTCCAGAAGCTGCTCCATCTGTTACCTTGTGCATCACAGAGAAAAATGCCCGCAACACCAGAAACCAATCATGAGCTACAAACGTGCAGACAAGACACGAGCCCCCCCCCCCCCCCGCCCCACTGAGTGGTTAAATCAGATGTTATGGGAACAGACTGGCCTCGGCAAAGGGCTCCCG